GGACTATCATCCAGACTCAATGTGGTCTCTTTTACGGCGTCATGGAGAACTTTTTATGTCAGAAGTCAGCAGCTGCTCATTTACATTACAAGTCTCTGAAACATCCAGAGATGTCTTTTGTTCTCTCATCTCTTGACCTCCATCTCAGCAGCCTGACCTCAACAATATAATATTAATTATACAAACTGTTAAACTCTGAAGAACCATCAACCAGTGCTTTATTGCCATTTCAATTAGGGTTGCAAAGAATTTTGTCAGTGCTCATGTACACAAAAGAAATAAAAACTGAAACCAATCAGAGCAGACTCGCCCAATGCACCGGCAGAATGGCCGAATAAAAAATGGAATCAATAAATAATAAAGAAAATAAATAAAACCGGAGCAAGGTTTAGAGGCCAGGCCCATAAAATTCAACGCACCCGCTCCCTCGGGACAGGTGCTGTAATGAAAGTTGCAGGTCTTGGGTCTATGTGTCACTGTGGGGGAGATGAACCAGAGAGACACTTTGAAATAAAAATAAAAAATAGACAGAAATCAGAGAGCAAATTTCCCGACAGGAAGCATCAGGGAATAAATTAAGACCAAACTTATTCTTGTCAGTCCCAGACAGTGGACAGCACAACATAAATTACACGGAGCGTCTCAGGCCTCTTAATAATCTGCCAACATCATGGTGTTAAAGGCACACACACAAATGTATGACACACATGAGCAGCAGTGTGGCTGAAGTCATGTGGCTCAGGTTACCTTCGCCTGAAAAACTATCACAGGTGTCATGTAGCCACTTGAATGAAAGACGCCAGAGGCGGCTTCATAATTTAACATGATGTTTAGCACAGTGACGGAGCAGGATGAGCAGCTCTCCTTCACTTGGAAACAAATTCAATTAGGTGATTTTAACGTCTGTTTCAACAGATTGGAGACCTGAAGCGTTATTACAGATTTCGCCATCAAGAGACAGTGAAGCGCTCCAGTGTGTCCAACGAAGAGGTGACTGTTAGCGTTGCCAAGGAGACCAAGGTATAGTAATGGGATACGAGGATTGGGAGACTCTGCTGGATTATTAATCAGCTGCACATCCCTCCCTACCTACTGATACAAACACGTGAGCACACACACACACATATGTGTTGGCCCCTCTTACACAAAAACACACACTCCTCTCCCTCACACGATGGACCAGAGTGTCCAGTGTTACACATCACATCTAAATGATAAGATCCACATAGAAGAAAGAAAAATGTGCTCGGAATAAAAGAACACATTCAAAAAGAAGGAACACTTGTAACAGGATCTGCTGCACAGGAAGTGTTCAGGATGTTCAGGGTTGTGATGGGTTTGATTTAGATAAGCAGCAACATTACACACAAACTTATTTATGTATATTTAATTTAAAATGTGGTGATATAGATGCACATATAAGAACCCTGAAGTGCAGTGAGGCAGCACTGTTGTTAAAGTGCCCAATAAAATATGTATTCATAATATATTCTGTTTTATAGTCAGACCAATTTGCAGCAACAAATATCAGCTGTATTTCAATCCTGACACCAAATGTTATTTTCTGGAAGGAATTATGTTTGGAAACACTAGAGCTAACAGAGCCCGTGGTAAATTACCAAAGGGCCTGCCAAGATAAGAATGTTCTCTCTGGAACGACGGTGGCTGACTGTGAGCTGCTGAGGGAGGGGACGTCCTAAAATGTCAGAGTAAATTTCAGACATTATTTAGATAAACCATAAAGTTTATATAAAGATGGACAATACGTCTTCATACGTCTTGAAGCCAAATTAACCTGCATATGAACCCTGTCATCGAGCCAGAGTCTGCGAAGGAACCAGACAAATGAGCACCTTAACATATCAGTGTGATAAGAAGTACCTAAAATGACAGAAACCATCTTTGGAAAAGATTTATTGAACGTGGACTTTTTAATTTGGTCTATGTCCCAGCCACTAACACGCAGGAGGAAGGATTTATGACCTTTACTGCTACCAGCCAGATTGAGGTGCTTTGGCTTCACTTTTGGGGAGCAGTGATGTCATCCATCTTTATACAGTAAACAGCCTCTGAGATAAACTTTGAAATCAAAAGTCATGGTGTTATCTAAATGAGTAGGATTCATCCTCTGGGAACCATGAATGTTAGTAATAGTAGTAGATAGTTGGTTGAGATATTTCATTCTGGACCAAAGTGTCAAACAGATCATCCAACCAACTGACAGACCTACACTGACATCCATTGGGCCATGCTGCTAGCTACACGCCAGTGTAGGAGGGTTGGATCGAGGGTAGCTGGGCTTGGATGTAGACACTTGACATTTAACGTCTGTGGGGTCGACCGTACTGAGATTAGATGCGTGGGACTTCCCGCTCGTCTGACACGACCAAAGAAGCATCTTGGATGAGAGGTGAAACAGCTCCAAGCGTCTACAGCCTCGTTCAGCTGCCCTCGACTCAACCCACCAGTGATTACCATGACCTGGATGACAGAGAATCTACACAGGCTAACAGACCGTGTGGTTCCTTTTTAAGGTGGAATGGCTCCAGCAGCAGGTGGTCCAGAGAAGAGTCAAGAGGAACTCCAGAGCAAGTCACATCTCAGCAGAAATGAAACCCAAACGCCCTCCCGCTGCCTGGACCCTGTCCAGCCGCACCCAGACACTGCGCTTCAATGACCCAGTGTGGAACAGCCTGTGGTACATTGTGAGTCAGATATTTTTTTATTTTATTTACTAAGCTCCTGTCTGAATCAAAGACACATAAACCCAGACAGACAAGAGTTTTAAAATAGACCCCAGTTCATTCTTTTACTCCCACGGGCTGAATTGGATGTGCCACTGTTTGCTCCACAGCATTGCAGCGGCGAGGCCAAAGGCTGCCTGTCTCACATGAACATCGCGGCGGCCTGGACGAGGGGCTACACGGGGAAGGGTGTGGTGGTGTCTGTCCTAGATGATGGCATTGAGAGAGAGCATCCGGATCTGAAGCCAAATTATGTAAGTGCCCCGGGATGGGACGCCCTTCTCGGGAAGGAGACATTAATCATAAGCAATTTGGCAGAGCTCTTGGTGCAAGAGCACAGAGCTGAGACAGATATTGCAAGGCGGTCGAGGCAGAGCTTTTGGGCCAAAGGTTTGGAAAGGCCGGCTAAGAGTATTGGAATGGACATTAAACGTCTGATCCACTTAACTGTGGAGTGGACTGGTGAATAATGCTCTTTGTGATTTGCCTGATACAACAGAGACAGATAGCTTCTGGCATCTTGTTATGTGCCGCTACTAACTATCCATCTGTTTCAGGATCCTCTCGCCAGCTATGATGTGAACGGACAAGACCCAGATCCCTCTCCGGATCACTCAGGCGACGCTGATAACTCGTGAGCACTTCTTATTTCTAGATTTCTCTTTCGCACCTGCTTTTCCATCTCCATTTTCAACTCGTAATTCAACTTTTAATTATCGCCAACCTCTCCTTTCCATTTTCCCCCTAGTAATTACGTGCATATATGGATATGCAAATTCCCCAGTCTGAATTCTGTCTTCTCACTGGTTTGATGTAACGGAAATAGCCTGTCTTCTCCTCATGCATATGCATCTAACCTCATGTTCTGATGATCTCCTCCTTTCTCCGAAGCCATGGGACTCAGTGTGCAGGGATGGTTGTTGCCACTGCGAATAACTCTGAGTGCACGATTGGAGTCTCTTTCCATGCACGGATAGGCGGTGAGTGCATGTGACGGCATGAAACTAGTGCGCCCAAGGACTTTTGGAGGTCAGAGTCTTATATATAATGCTCTCAAACATTTATCATCTGCCCTCTTCACCTGTAGGCATCCGCATGCTGGATGGAGATGTGACAGACATCATAGAGGCCCACTCTCTGAGCTTCAGACCTCAGTATATTGATATTTACTTAGCTAGCTGGGGGCCAGAGGATGACGGAGCCACTTTGGAGGGACCAGGGCCTCTGACTCATCTCGCTTTACAGAATGGCGTCAAAACAGTGAGCGGGAGAGAGAGCGAGAGAGAGAGAGTTTTTGTGTGAAAGAGAGGGGGGGGTGTCTTGTTGACTGTGTGTGTTTGTTTATGTCTGCGTCCTACCTGCGGCTGTATATTTACTTCAAGGGCTTATCGTTCTCTCCTCATCAATCTGCAAATATCATTAATAAATTAATCACTCTTTCGGCTTCCTCCAATTAATCTCAGGGCCGACAGGGGAGGGGCTCTGTTTTCGTCTGGGCTTCGGGGAACGGAGGGCAGAGAGGTGACCACTGCTCCTGTGACGGCTACAGCAACAGTATCTACACCATCTCTATCAGCAGCAGCACTTGGCGTGGAAGCCGGCCAGATTACCTGGAGCAGTGTGCCTCCACGCTGGCGACAGCTTACACTGGTGGAGACGCAGAGGAGATGGTGAGTCTAGGCTGTGATGAACACAAGGAACGTCTTCCAAATATTAACTAAGATCCAGGACCCATCTTCACCACAACAAGGATTAAGGCTGCTCGTTCCCCTTCCAATAAAGCCATTAAGTCTTTAATGAAGATAGAAGTCACTTCCTGTTACTGTTATTGTGTGAGGCGCTCATGCTTCAGTCTCGGTCTGAGGAGCAGTGTTTCTGGGTTTATTTCTGTCATGATGAAACTAGAGGTTAGATTCCACATTCTTGTCATTGTGCACACGTACAAAGACAGTGACATGCACTTAGCCTGGCATTAAAGCATTAGCAGAGCATTAGCATCATTTACCACTACACTGCAGGACTGAGTCAGTACCACGGAATAAATGATAATATAATGTAAATTGGATCATATACAGAGATGATATGATAAAAAGTTCACTTGTGCACAGAATGGTGGAAGTGGAGCTAAACGAAAGCTAGTGAAATAATCTGAGTTGATCAAACTCAAATTAATTGTTTATTTTTGTCTATATTCAATATTTTTCTACTTTATTCAATGAATAACCTTTGACTTATTTAACTCGTAAACCTCAAATGACCATATAATATTACTTATAACCCAAATAATCTTTTGGAAACTTTAACAAGTTTTGCATGGAAGTTGTATCTGTGTGAAACATTATTCAATATAATGAATATTAACTCTGGATTAAATGATGTTTCTCCTTTAAGGGACATTTCTATTTTCCTACAAGTTTTCTCTATGAGCCAGGTGATATTTGAAAATGATTCTATCATTAAAGACTCATAAATGAAACATTTTATTAACCTACCATGAAATATGTAAATCTGAATAAGTTATTTATGCTAAAAGTGTTTTCAGATGTTTTGCCTTCTTCCTGCATCTCTACTCTGCATTCAGTCCTGGTCATTGATGTGCAACAATGCAAATAATCAACTCAATTCCTAAATGATCTCATACATTGAAATACATAGAAACACTATAGCAAAATCTCTCTGATCCTACAATGTGACGACTGCAACCCGTCGACAGATAACGCTGGGCCCGCAGCAGAGCTGTCGCTGGGCTCAGTCTGGCTCCTCCCTCTCTTCCTCCATGGCTGCAGGTGTCATCGCTCTTGCTTTGGACGCCAAGTAAGCAGCTCTCACACACATAAAATCCATACATGCAGGCACAGTTTCAAATCAATGCATGTTCCAATTGATGGGGGTGATGAGAGTATGATGCTGTGCTCCGTTTGACCTTTTCTCAGCCCCTCACTAACCTGGAGGGATGTGCAGCACATTATCGTTCGCACATCAAAAGCTCATCATCTCATTGCTCCTGACTGGGCCGTTAATGGAGCCGGATACGAAGGTATTATTCCCATCAGATTTCTGCAGAATTCCCCTCCTCTTTTAGAGGAGTTTAGAGAATGTGAACAATAATCTTTTTGACGCAATCATCTCGAAACTTCTAATAAAAGAGATGAGCAGAGATAAGCATATTTTGGTAAATTTTCTCTCAGACCTTTTTTTAAGGAGACTATAAAACACTGAGCATGAAACTAATGAGATCCTGTGAACAGAACAGTGATAAACGCTGAGAAAGTCCCAGGAGTGTGTGAAATCTTTTTAAAGCTGCAGTGTCTTTGAAGCCCCATCTAATGTGTGCGTGTGTGTCTGTGTGTCAGTGAGCCACCTGTACGGCTTTGGCCTGCTGGATGCTGAGGGCCTGGTGAAGGAGGCTGAGCGATGGAAGCAAGTTCCCTCGCAGCACGAGTGTGCAGAGGAGGCTCCCATCCAGCCGGGCAGGTATCACACCAAGAGATCTCTGCTTCCACTCTAGGGCTTCCCTCGAATCCTCCTCTTTTATCACACTTTATTTATGTCTCTCTCACTTCTCACACAGATCCCTCTCACACTCTTTAGGCATCACTTTCTTTACACCACCTCTCCCTCTAACTCTCATGCTTCTCTGTTTTCCGCCTCCTCTCTTCTCTCAGCCAGCGTCTCTTTTATTCTCCTCTCCGTCTCATGACAGAGCCATTCATCCAGGCTCGGTGCTGACGTCTACCTATGAGGCCACGGGCTGCTCCACCGAACCCCGGCAGCAGGTTGTTTATGTGGAGCATGTCGTCGTTCGTGTTACCATCACTCATGGCCGTCGCGGCGACCTTTCTATTAAGCTCACTTCACCTTCGGGCACAGTGTCGCAGCTGCTAGCTAACAGGTAACAGAGACCGATGTTTCCTCCAACAATAATCATCCATGCCCTGGTAGCTTCAACACATGGTCTCTACATATAGTCATCATGAGTTATCTTTATTCAATAGGCATCTATTTAAAAAAACAACAACCTTGAGATCCTTGATTTGGCTGCTCCATTTTGATTAGACATCTGCTGGACTTTTTTATTGATGGGAAGGCAGTGTAATAATAAAGCAATGGAGGGCAGGAGTGCATGAACCTGTTAAATGTAACCATCGGGACGATAAATGACATATGAGTGTCATTTATCTTTATAGCCACTCTAGAGTGCAACGCAGAATCCTTCAGTTTGGCAACTTGTCCCATTAGGGAGATAAAATGTTGGATTCTGGCAACTACTACTGGAAAAGTGCAAGAGCTCTCCTCACATGGTGTTTCAAAGGGAGTGTGTGTGGCCAAATGAATTTTTAGCATTTTTCTGCCACTTTCAGCAAAAATAAACCACAATCTAACATGAAGAGTGCAACAAAGTGTTGATAGATAATTAAAGCACTAACTTGCCATGTGCTTTTGCTCATGTGCCCTACTTAAAGCTTCTCTATTCAAATTTTTTGATGTGTGATCTGAAACCTGCACAGAATCATCACGACTCTGCAGTTCCCCTTAACTCTACAGAGTGTTTTGTGGTCTTTCAGCTTGTTGTTTTGGTTTTAGAATTTGCTACGCTACTCGTTCACTCTCTGCTGTCACCAATTTAATTTCCAGCCACAACAGGTTTAAAAAAAAGTATAAAAACCCACTGCACCCTACCTGCTCTGCACCAAACAGCAGATAATCACATTTCGCATCTAGCTGGTGAACACAGTGGAGCATTTAGCAGCTAAAGAGCTTGGTATTTCCCTCGGGAGTTGGAGGAGAGAAAACAGAGTGAATATTGAATTTAAAGTTGTCGGGTGGCCAGAAACATGACTCCAAATGAATGATAATGTCTCTCTGTATTTGTTGGATGTGTAAATAAGCATCTGTTTGCTAAACACTTCCCAATATCATCTGTTTAAGGCGATAATGTCAGTCACTATGTTTACATGGACACCAATGTTCTGATGTTAACCAGGTTCGGACATTAGTCTGAATAAGTCACTGTCATGTAAAAATATCTTAATCTGAAAAAGGTCATACTTGAAATAAACAATAATCAAATGAAAACATGACCTTAGTCGCATGTAGAAATATATACATCCTAATTGCAGTACAACATCCTAACTAAGTTTTCACAGTATTTCGCAACATCAACATACATATGAATATGAATGGAATATTCTTTTAGTATTTTATGTAATAATTATTTGGAAAAAAACACAAAATCAATACTTTTGCTATTTATTCCTACACTTTGCTGATAATCTTCTGTTAAATAAGTACAACTGGATGTGGAGGTTTTTTTAACAACAGAGCATTTCTACAGTTCTACGCCTTATTATTTTATTTAAGTAAAGGGTGTGAATAATTCTCACTGTAGTAGTAGTATTAGTAGAAGCAGCAGTAGTTGTAGTAATAAAAAGGATGTTTGTAGTAGTTTTAGCACCAGTATGATTATGTAATGTTTCGTGTTAGGCCTCTCGACGACTCCACAGAGGGATTCCACAACTGGGAATTGATGACGACTCACTGCTGGGGGGAGCAGGCAGCCGGGGAATGGACGTTGAAAATCAAAGATACTCCCTCTCAGAAGAGAGACAACGCTGACCTAGGTCTGCTGTTACTCTTCTTAACATCTCAGTATTACAAAACAATGGCATTGAAGTTCAGCTAGAGCAGCAGCTAAAATACAGTCCAGGCCTCGCGGGACCGACCTGTTATCTCGCCCTCTTTCTGTTGCTCTGTTGTTTCTCAGGGATGCTGAAGGAGTGGTCCCTGCTGATTTATGGCACCGCAGAGCAGCCGTACCCCGCGCATCGTGAGCGAGCCCGATCAGCGGAGATGCTGACAGATAGTGACCTCACTGAAGAATACAGTGGTGAGTCATGTACTCAGAATAACGCTCTGACTATTCAAACAGCAGCTAAATGTACTTTACTGTAATGGAGATTTACAGTGCATATTAGATTAGTTAGTAAGCTCTGTTAAAATCGTTTTTCTATACAATTGTCCAAATAAACTATGCAGACATGAAACTATTAGTCACAATTGATTAGCTGACCACTGATTTAATAATAATTAAGTATCCCAGCAATTCTTAAGGAAAATTATTTTTAAAAAGCTAAATATTCTCTGATTTCAGATTCTAAAGTGACAATATTTCTGCTTTTATATGTGATGTATCATTTAATTATGTTTGTTTCA